GCAGCTCTGTTGTTTGCTGCTGTGCTGGGATCGTCGTCCTGTTTGGTGCGAGCTGTGGGGCAGACGGCCTCACACTGAGCTCTTTGGTTTTTGACCTGTATGTGAAGCATGAAGCCGTCTCTCTGTTTGCCTTGGAATCATTTATTCCTCATGTTTCACTGACTGGTTAGCTTCCTTGCCGACTTGTTTATTTGTGACATTTTGAGAAAAAACCTAAATAACCTCCCCACGTGGAGACTGTTTATCCACTCACTGATCTTCTTCCAGATGTTTCTTTGATGCAGCCCCGCTGAACTCTGGGATGCACACCGTACGGCCTGACCTGACCTCAAACGACTCGACCGATCGAACCGCCGACAGCACGGGGAGGCTCGCCGTGTGACGCAGTAATGAAAGAGAAAATGCAAGGCTGCATCATTCCTGATGTAAAGCTCTGCTCTCTGTGTGGTTACTCTGACGTGTTTGGTTCATCTTGTGTTTGTCGTTCTTTGATACTCAGAGTTTTGTATTCTTTGTCTTTTTATCCTGGATCTTTGCCTGTGATGGACGGTGTTTAGACTTATGTGTGATTCCTGCTTATTCAGTTCATTCCCAGAATCCTCTCATGTCTCATCGATGTTACTTCCTGTTTTATTTTGGTAGTCTCTTACTCTGTGTGTCTGCAGCCCGTCTAGGAGCCTGTTCGTGTTTGTGCTGTCTTCATTCTTGGAGCTCTGAAGCTGTTGAACTCTGACCTCTGTGTTTGGATGTTCACGCCTTTTTCCTCGAGCGTCCTGCGTTTGTGCTGCCAGGATCAGATTTGGACTTTTTTCAGCCTGTCAGCCAAAACGTAAACGTGTTGGTGAAGCAGGAGTGTTTCCTGACCTGGGAAGGTTCAGATGTTGCCCGATCATTGATGCGATTGAGTCTGACCTGTGAACTGCAGCAGCATATCACACACTTTCACAGGAAGCTGAAAAAAATCAGCTCCGTGCGAAGGTGCCTACAGACCTCAGCACATCTCAGGTGAGCTATGAACCCACCTGAGCCCTCGGGTCACCTGGATCAGGCCACCTTTGCATGGACAGGTGATCACCTGGATCAGGCTTTCACTTCTTAATGCTGCGACCTGCTGCTGATTTGTGTTTGGGCGTTTAATAATTAGCTTTTTATTATCAGTTAATTATATTTATCCTTGTGTTGGTTTTATCGTTTTCAAAGACCTGTGATTAGTTTTTGCTGGATTTCTTCTTCTCTCAGGAATTTAAATGATGAGTTTTTATTATCTTTGGTGTTTTCTGCTTGTTTTTATCAGCAGTTGCTGTTCTTGAGTTTGTTATGAATTCATTTGGTTACAACTGTCAGCTGATTGGACGGTGGGGATGTCCACACAGGAAGTGATTCAGTCTGGTGAATCACTCGTCCCGCTGGAGGTCGCTTCAGTAACTCGCTTCGAATATTTGGGAACAGTTCAAAAGTTTAACCCCGCCCACTTTGGTTAACCGGCGTCAAAGTCGTTACTTAAACCTCGTGACCACGGCACTTCCTTTAAACGCTGTTTCTTACCTCGCCTCCTCATCACGCCTCACTGTGATCAGGTGACTTATCTGACACACACACACTGTCCATGTGTGTGTGTGTGACAGTGAACATCAATCTG